CTGCTGCTGCTGGTTTCTTGCTGCTGTACAGGGGCGCAATTCCGCCGGAGGAGCTTTGTCTCTTTGTACTGTTCGAGCAGCTGAAGCTGCTGCAGCAGCTGCACCAGGTCAGCAGGGCTGTTGCTATTGCTGCTGCTGCTGCTGCTGCTGCTGCTGCTGCTGCTGTTGCTGCTGCTGTTGCTGTTGTTACAACGGACCGCATGCATCGAGCTGCTGCGGTGTATCCTTAGGTAGGACTGCTGCACTGCAACATCAGTTTAAGCAGCTTCTTAGTGGCTCCCGCTGCTGCTGCAGCAACAGGACTGCAGCAGCAGCAGCAGCAGCAGAAGCAGCAGAGCCATCCGCTGTTGCCAGAAGGTGAATCAGCAGCAATTGAACTATTCGGGATCGACTTGGCTGCTGGGATCGACTCTCGCGATCTGTGCTGCGGCGTCTGCCTCTTAGAGTCCCCCTTAACAAGCCAGCTTAGTGGTAAGACATTGCTGCTGCTGCTGCTTCTCCTGTTGCTGCTGTTGCGTGTGGCTGCTGCTGCTGTGTGCCTTATGCTGTTCGTTGCACCTCTGCATTCACGACGCTCTCGCTCGCACTGCAGCAGCCGGGACGCCGCAGCAGCAGCAGCAGCATCGACAACAGCAGCAGCAGCAACAGCCGAACGTGTGCTGTGTCGTCTGCAGCAGACCCAAAGAATTGTTGGGCCCTTCACGGGATCGACCTCAGAGGCCTCGCCTTCGCTGCAGCAAGTCTGCTGCTGGGTAGACGTTTGCTGCCGGGCAGAGACGTGCTGCAGCAGCAGCAGCAGTCGCAGCAGAACAAAGAGAACAGGACACTGCAGCAGCAGCACCTGCAGCAGCAGCTGCTACGGCCTGAAGTCTTGGTAAGGCTGCCCCTTAGAAGGCATTACGCTGTCGACTTGTGGCTGCTGCTGCTGCGGCGGTGCTGCAACTTCGAGAATGAGCTGCTGCAGCAGCAGCCGGAAGCAGCAGCAGCTTTATCCTGTCTACTCAGCAACAGAAGCAGCAGCAGCAGCAGCAGCAACAGCAAGAGCGATGCAACTCCTGGAGAGGTGCGCTCTGCTGCTGCAGTGCTGCAGCAGTGCAGCGAAAGGGCATCACTGCTGCTGCTGCAGCAGCTGCAGCAGCAAATCGTGTCTCTTTTCGCCAGGGAGCCCACACGCAGGAAGCTGCTGCTGCAGCAGCAGCAGCTCGTCGCAGCTTTTCTGGGCGATAAATAACAGCAGCAGCAAACAGCAGGAGGAGCCGCAGCAGCTCCAGCAGCAGTAATTGCAACTACCAAACAGATTTTTAAATGTTAGTTTCCCGCACTTGACGAAATGCAGCTTGCTGCCCAGCTAGCTACTAGTTGGCAGCTAGCTAGCCGGAAAGCTAGCCCTCTAGCTAACTAGCTAGCACCGGCGGGGTTGTGGGGCATTGCAGCCACGAGTTGATGCTAGTCTGACTTTCAGCTAGCTAGGCAGCTAGCCACCTCGCCAGGTCGGCAGCTAGCTACGTAGGTTCATAGATACCTGGTAGCGAGGCCTGTAGCTAGCTTACTGTGTAAGCTTTCCGCTATCCAGCGCGGTGTATCTGTAACTATCTGGATAGCTGGGTACGTCTTTCGGCTGCCGCTAGCTGCCTCGATATCTAACCAGCGGCTGGCTAGCTAGCTAGCTACCGCCATATTGCTTTGGCTAGCTAGCTAGCTAGCTAGACAGAAAAGTAGTCGTATTTGGTCTGGGTGTTGATGCGCTCCTGAAGATTCGCCACGCGGTGGTAAAGAATATCCAACTTCGTTCGCCGCAACATCGACAGCAGCGCCTCCTGCAGCAGCAGCAGCAGCAACAGCAGCAGCAGTAGCAAAACGTTAGTAGAAAGTAGTAGCGACAGCAGCTGAGATGGCAGCAATACAGTTGCTTTGTGGAAAACCTCATCCACTGGTGCTGCAGCAATATTGCAGCAGCAACAGCAGCAGCAGCAGCCGATGTTTTGCAGATGTCTCACCTGAATCCCCGCTGCCTTCATGTCGAAGCAGTTTGGCTTGTAGCCAGCCAACGTCTACGCAGCAGCAGCAACAGCAACAGCAGCAGCAGCAGCAACAGCAACAGCCGAGTGTTCAGTGTGTTATACAGAGGCATTCTGTGTGTTGGTTGGTGCTGTGCACCCGTTAGATAATAATAATACAACACTCTAATAAAAGTAAAATAATACTACTACTAACAATACAATAAAAAGAATACTACAGGGGAGGTAGAAACATAAGATAGAGATATATACAAGCAAAACAGAATAGAGCCTTGGAGCAACAAGAGCAAGAGCTGCACGAGTGCACGAGTTAAATATATAAATAAATAAATAAATAAATAAATAGCAAACACACAAGCACATAGATAAAGTAAAGACTAAAAAGTTGTATTTGTAGGAAACGGACTTGCAGCAGAGACAAACAAACCCCAACAAATTCAATGCTCGAAAACTCATAAAGAGCTGCAGCAAGAGAATGCAGCACGTGTTTACAAATCCTGTGCTGCACCTGCCACCGCCCACGGCTCAGCTGACGCAGAGCGAAGACGATCTGCAGCAAAAAAAAAACAGCAAGAAAAAAAAACAAACACGTGTAAGAAACAAGAAACAAATTCATAATAGAGACAAATTCATGAAAATAATACAATATACAATGCTATATAAATAACATTGTGGACGGATGAATCAGATACAGGTAAAATAATAAATAAAAAAAATACAAAATAATAAGCAAACGAATAAAACAGCGGCAAAAAAAACAAATTCATGAAGAGAAAAAATAAATAACGAACGAATGCATAGAGACAAAAAACACCCAAATGAATAAAGAGAAAGTAGAAAACAAATGCACAGAGAAGAAATAACAAACAAATGAGATACAAACTCACTGCCATAAAACAAGAAGAGACAACGGCAACAAAAGCAGATGCCGCAAAAACAACAAACAAAAGCAACAATGCAACCTTTTGAAAGGATAAAGGAGAGACAAACAGAAACGGGGAAAACAGGGACAAACAAAAACAAAAGAAACGAGGCAAGAACATATTACATGAACTATATGAAAAGGAAGAGAAATTCAGCATAAATGAAATCTCACTTTCGTCTTATACTCAACGTCGTCTCCAGCCGTATGAAACGTGTACAGAACAAAATCTACAACTGGAAACCTGAACACAAACCAATCACCTAGCTAGCCACGCTGCGAGCTAGCCACCCAGCCACGTAGCAACAGCTGCAACCGTATCGGCAGCCTGGGGTTTCTGTGGCTAGCTAGCTGCTTTCAGCTAGCTAACGGTGACTAGGATACCCCTATGAAGCAATTGAATCAATTCATCAAGCAATTCATAAAACAATTCCACGAAGTAGTTCACAACGTAACCGGCGAAACTGTTTATGAAACAATTCTCAAGAGAATCTATGAAACATTTCCATCAAATAATTCATAAAAAAAAAGACGAAACAATTCATGAAACTTACCAAAAATAATTATATCAAACTACTCATGGGACCACCCACGTAACAATTATATTAAAAAATTTCATTAGAGGATTCATGAAAGAATTCATGAAACCATTCATGAATTGTTTCATGAAACAATTCATAAAACAATTCATAAAAGAACTCACGAAACCCCTTCATCGTTTCATAAAAAAATTCATGAAAAAAAATTCACGAAACCGTTTCGCTGTTTCACGAAACATGAAGAAATTCATGAAAAAATTGGCGAAACCTTTTCGTTGTTTCATGAAACACAATTCATAAAAAAACTCATAAAACAATTCATGAAGCAATTCATGAATTGTTTCAAAAAGTAATTCGTGAAAAAATTCACGAAAAAATTCATGAAAAAATTCATGAAATAATTCATGAAATAATTCATGAAATAATTCATGAAATAATTCATGAAACAATGCACGATAGCTAGCTATCTACAGCTAACTCTGTGTAGCTAACTGTGTGCGGCTGACTGTATTCAGCTAGCTGTACATAACTAGCTGTGTATACCTAGCTATGCCTACAGCTAGCCATTTGCAGCTATCCCTCTATAGTATTCTGCCTGTAGCTAGCTGTGTGCGTGCGGTACCGGTCGACGAGATCTATCCTCGCTTCTTCATCGTTGGCTAACTGCCCGACAACTCCCATCAGCGCAGACAGCAAACCTCGGCGATCAGGAAGATCAGAAGCATAGTTGTGCTGCAGCAGCAGCAGTAGCAGCAGAAGCAGCAGCAGAAGCAGCAGAACAGTGAACAGCAGCACGAGAAAATACAACAGTAGAGTGCAAAACAGCAATCATACAGAGACAACCGCTCCAGAAGCAGCAGCAGCAACGCCAACAGCAGCAACCGGGGCAAAGCAGCAGCAGCAACAGCAGCAGAGGCGCAGCAGCAGCAAGAAGATGTAGCTGGATGCAAACGAAAGAAGTCGCCATCCATATCAAGCCTCCGCTGTTGAAGGGTTTAGGGTTTAGGGTTTAGGGTTTAGGGTTCACCATGAGTAGATCTACAATAGGGTACAGGCCCCCGACAGCCAAAAACTTTTGTCTGTGTGCCGCCATCTTCGTCAGGTTCAGCAGCAGCAGCAGCGCAGCTAAGACTACATTTGCTTCCTGCAGCAGAGCAGCAGCAACACAACAGCAAAGCAGCAGCACAGCAGCAGCAGCAACGCAGCAGAAAACGCAGCAGCAAAACGAAAGAAATAAAAAGGCAGCGAAAGGGAGACAAAAAGAAAAAAACAACAAAGGACAAACAAATGCAGCTAAACAGGAGCAGGAGGAGATGGTGTATATACACCGCATGCAGTGCACACAAGCAGCACCAACTGAGACAAGCAGCAGCAGCAACTCCAGCTGCAGCAGCAGCAGCAACTCCAGCTGCAGCAGCAGCAGCTCTCCACCAACTCCAGCAGCTGCAGCGGGAATAACTGCATGTACAAATGCGGCAGCAGTGAATACAACAGACGCAACAGCAGCAGCAGCAAGGAAGAGAGCAGCAGCACCAACAGCACCACCAGCAGCAGTAACAAAGGCAGCAACAGCAGCAGCAGCAGCGGCATCAGCATCAACAAAAACGGCAGCAACAGCAACAGCATCAACACCGACAACAGCATCAACGCAGCAGCAGAATATCAGCAGAAACAGCAGCAGCAGCAGCAGCACCAGAAGCAGCAGCAGCAGCAGCAGCAGCACCAGAAGCAGCAGCAGCAGCAGCACCAGAAGCAGCAGCAGCAGCAGCACCAGAAGCAGCAGCAGCACCAGAAGCAGCAGCAGCACCAGAAGCAGCAGCAGCAGCAGCAGCAGCAGCTTGCCTTGGTTTTCAGGAGTGTCAGACAGGCTGTATGTACACCCCCCTCCAGCAGAATTTCTTTCGTTCTCGGATCCCCAGCACTCAAATTCACCAGCGAGGCGGCGCAGAGGTGCAGCAGAGCCATAGTACTCCCCTGCAGCAGCAGCAGCAGCAGCAGCAGCAGCAGCAGCAGCAGGAGAAAGAGCAGTGGTAGAAGCAACAGCAGCAGCAGCAGCAGCAGCCAGAACAGCAACAGGGACCTCACACAGACAGACGATGACTGCAGCAAAAGCTGCAGTTCTCGAAACCCTAAACCCTAAACCCTAAACCTGCCTTTTGGCGGCCAACCTGCTCCCCAAACCCTAAACCCTAAACCCTAAACCCTCGCCTCACAGAGCTAATCACATCTCTCGCGTGAGTGGTTTGCACCAGAGCGGGTACAAGGACCCTAAACCCTAAACCCTAAACCCTAAACCCTCGCCCCACCGAGTTGGCTTGAATGGTTTGGACGAGAGCGGGTACAAGGACCCCAAACCCCAAACCCCAAACCCTAAACCCTAAACCCTAAACCCTAAACCCTCGTCTCACCGAGCTGACGGCATCTTTGGCTTGAATGGTTTGTACGAGAGCGGGTACAATAGAGTGCAGGAGGTTTGTGGTTTTTGGTGTTGCTGCTGATGAAGCTTTTAATATTTGTTTACATACAGTAGCCTTAAACCCTGCTGTTTTTGCTCCCCCCAGCAACGCACGCAACATCTCCATGTATGCTGTCTCCTCGCTGAATACAACAAACCCTAAACCCTAAACCCTAAACCCTAAACCCTAAACCGGCAAAACAAATATATAAACCCTCAGGAACAAGAAACGGCATACAAACAATAACGACATCATTACACACTTTAAACCCCAAACAATAAACCCTAAACCCTAAAGCCCAAACCCTAAACCCTAAACCCTAAACCCTAGAACACAAGACGCACTTTCTGGGGAAAAGTTTGGCGATGTAGCCGCACTCCAGCAATATCTAAGAAACAAAAAAAAACACAAAAAAAAAAAAAAAAAAAAAAAAAAAAAAAAAAAAAAAAAAANAAAAAAAAAAAAAAAAAAAAAAACAAAGCATCCCCGTTGCTGAGAGCGATGAATGTATACACAGAGAGAGAGAAAAATAAAGGAGACAAAACAAACAGAGAGAAAACAAAAGAAAACAAAAATACAAACGAACTATATAAACACAACCCTAAACCCTAAACCCTAAACCCTAAACCCTAGAGACAAACCAGAAAGGGTTTATGATTAAAAATATAATCAGCTCGCCGCAGGTATTGTTGGGGTTTCTGTAGAGCTTCGGGGGTCCACCGCAAAGAAAAATCTTTTGGCCGCAAATGTAATACAAAAGATAACACAGAACGCAGCTTCTACACAAAAAAAAAAACAAATAAAATAAAATAAAATTATATTTTATTTATTCTATTTTGGTTTGTTTGTTTTATTTTGTTTTGTTTTATTTTATATTATTTTATTTTATTTTATTTTGTTTTATTTTATTAATATTCGCTGACTCTGTTGCTCAGTCTATCAGCATACATTTATCGTGTTTATGTATATACATGTGTGTATATATAATATACACATAGAATATATATAATATATATATATATATATATATATATATATATATATATATATATATATATATATATATA